CACCAACATGCGATGATCCCACGATCGAGACGTCTATTATGTCACGATCACGGCGTCAGAGCCCAGACCTTCTCACCAAAGCTCGTGACCGAAGGGCTAGCCGACCTAAAACCGCAATGTGACGTGCGTAACAATGGCACACCCAGCTGCACCCTGCACAACGATTTTCCAGCTAATGGATACAGATCGATGTGCCAGCAGCCTGAATCGATTGTTACTGGGTCAGGTTAACTACGCAGTTAACCCTACACATTGCCACCACCTCCTTTTTATTCAGAGAAAGAGGAAACTCGGCATTCAGCTATAACACTATACTGGTTGATGTAATCGACTGCATAACACGGTCATCACACAGGCCTGTTATACAGAGGGTTAAAACAAACAGTAGCATCTCTTTAAAGGCAGGGATTCGTAATTGCAATTAAGAGCTATAGAAACAGTTCAACACTTTCAGAAAGAAAGATTTATTACTAAAAGGGTCAAACAGGTGCAATAAAAATATTTACAGAGAAGATGTAACTAAGATAAATATATATAATATATATATATATACACACATACATACATACACACACACACACATATACAGAAAACAGCACAGCAAAGAGATAACAGGGAGAAGTTAAAGGGTTAAGTTACTTGCCATTAAGCCTTGGACGTAAGCAGATCACGTTTCAGAGCGAAAGGCACAGGTCTCCCCAGGTGGTATATTGATGTTAAAGGTGTCTTCAACTTACTACTCTTAGTCTTGACAGCCTGTTTTAAAGTTTCCCAGCAGGGTGTGGTTCTGAAGTAAAAGACCAATCCCCTGTTAAGGGAGGGATCGTGAGGCGGAACCCTAAACTGGAGCCCACATCTTTTATAATTCATATTTTGGTCCATAACTGTCCATCTGCACAAGGCCAGTCCACCCGCGGGTATATTATTATGCAGACAAGTCTGAGGATTATTTAGATATGAATTATGAACTTATATATTGCACGGTTCACAAGTTCTATGTTTCGGCTTCCCTGATGGTCCGGGATAAGCGAGTGACCAATCAAACTGTTTGCCTGCTCATTGACCATCTGACGAGGTGTCCGGTTTTTATGTAAGTCTCTCATACTCCAAGATATGAGACATAGGGGAAAAATGGATTTGAGAAGTGTTCATCTAATTCTGTCACCTGCGCTGAGCTAGGTTATTAGCTCAGAGTCCCTTTCAACTCTTGGGAAGGCTCCCTTATGTTTTTACGAGGTGTGAAATTACACAGGTACTTTGGTCAGTGAGACTCCAATTCTCTTGGGAAAGCTGGCCTTATCTCTTCCTAGGTGAGAAAGGATACAGTTTCCACAGACAGCTCGGCACCTAGCTAGAGATGCCTTGACCGGCCAGTGACCCATAACCAGTACACACACACACACACACACACACACACACACACACACACACACACACAGGTCACATGTCTCCTCTCAGTGAGAGGGAGGGGTAGGGGAAAGGATAAGGGAGAAATGTATACCCTTAGCAAGATGGAGTCCGCGTCAGTCTCTGTTACGCACGTTTGTGACAATGTCTAGGAGATGGGCCACTGGGGGGGGGGGGGGGGGGCCGCCTGGGGAATGGCTAAACTTACCAATACGTTTTTAAACGAGTCAAAAAGGTACTGGCCAGCTGTCTCACCGACTTGACCAGGTCACCCTGTTCTAGCCTCTCTTCTTTCACTAACCCGTCAATATAGGGCCCACAGAGAACCTTCTTCCATGACTCCTTAAGAACCGTTTTACAGGACGGGCATTTCCGCCTAGGTTCCTGATGCTTAAGTTTTTCTCGGGCCTTGCCCTGAAAGACAAAAGGATGCAGAAAGAGCCTATCACCCACAGGGCACTTGTTCTAACCCCCCCCCCCTCTCCAAAATCCTCTGACCACAATAATGTCCGGGAATATCCCAGGAGCTAGGGGCCCACAGGTAGGGGAGGATTCCTCTGAGTCACCTTACCTGGGTCTGGCTGGTGCAGGCCTCGCCTGGTCAGAGTGCCTCTGCGCCCGACATTCTCCAGGAGGGTGGTCGCCTTCAGCGGAAGCCTGTCCCCCAGGCACTGTTCCGCCATGCACCGCCATCTTCTCCGCCGGTGTATAGGGCCGCGGCCGGAAGCCACGACCCCGGAAGAAGCCTCGCCCTTTCCACCGGAATTGCCGTCTCCCGACATCCGGCTCGGCAAGCTCCACTGACCGCCAGCGTGGGAAGGAGCGGACTCTTCCCGATCCTCACCGGATTCCACCGAGGCCGCCCCAACACCCGCAACTCGCCGGAGGGGGTCGGGGCAGCCGGCAGGTTAGTATTCCTGCCCTGTCACCCAGGGATCACACTCCTGCCCTGCAGCCCACCAGGGGAGGATTGCAGCCGGCACTCCGGCCTTCACTTCCCGCTGCATCGAGTCCCCACAGCCGGCTCTCCGGCCCTGGACTCGCTCCAGGCTTCAGGCACACTGTCCCCTGACAGCACCTTGAGAGCTTCCTCAAGATGTCTCCCCTCCGGAGGAAACACCAGAACTGAGGTCGGAGGGGAGCATAGACTTTTTATTTAGGGTGGAGGTGTTTCCTCAGGTGGGGAGGAGCCGAGGTCTCTCAAGGTGCTGTCCTGAAAGACGAAAGGGGAAAAATATCCCGAGCTTTGAACATCTCACAGAGCACTGTTCAATCCATCATCCAAAAATGGAAAGAGTATGGCTCAACTGAAAACCTACCAAGACATGGCAGGGCAAGGAGAGCATAATGAAGCAAAACCTGGTAACTCTGCAGGAGCTGCAGAGATCCACCGTTTAAGACATGGCAGGGCAAGGAGAGCATAATCTGCAGGAGCTGCAAGATCCACCGTTCAGGTGGGAGAAACGGTCACATGGAAAACTTTGTGCACTCCACAAATCTGGCCTTTATGGAAAAGTAAAAAAACAAAAGAATTTTTACTTTTCACCAATATTTTTTGGGTTAGAGATTTGCTGCTTTATACAGGAAAATTATTGTTGATTGGCGCTTTCACAATTTTTTGTACTTTATGGAAAAGTGGCAAGAAGAAATCCATTGTTTAAAGAAAGCCATAAGAAGTCCTGTTTGCAGTTTGCGAGAAGCCATGTGGGGGCACAGCAAACATATGGAAGAAGGTGCTCTGGTCAGATGAGACCAAAACTGAACTTTGACCTAAAAGCAAAGCTCTATGTGTGATGATAAACTAACACTGCACATCACCCTGAACACAACATCCCCACCGTGAAACATGGTGCTTGCAGCATCATGTTGTGGGGAAGCTTTTCTTTAGCAGGGACAGGGAAGCTGGTCAGAGTTGATGGGAAGACGAATGGAGACAAATACAATACAATCTTAAAAGAAAACCTGCAGTCTGCAAAAGACTTGAGGCTAGGGCGGAAGTTCACCTTCCAGCAGGACAACAACCCTAAACATACAGCCAGAGCTACAATGGATAGGTTTAGATCAAAGCATATTCATGTGTTAGAATGGCCCAGTCAAAGCCCAGACCTAAATCCAACTGAGAACCTGGGCAAGACTTGAAAATTGCTTTTCAGACGCTCTCCATCCAATCTAACTGAGCTTGACCTATTTTGCAAAGAAGAATGGGCAAAAATTTCACTCTCTAGATGTGCAAAGCTGGTAGAGACATACCCAAAAAAGACTTGCAGCTGTAATTGAAGTAAAATGTGGTTCTACAAAGTATTGACTACCGGGAGGGTGGGCTGAATACAAATGCACGCCACACTTTTCAGGTATTTGTAAAAAATTTTGAAAACCATTTATCATTTTCCTTCCACTTCACAATTGTGTGCCACTTTGTGTTGGTTTATCACATAAAATCCCACTAAAACACATTTACGCTTTTTGGTTGTAACATGACAAAATGTGGAAAATGTCAAGGGGTTAGAATACTTTTTCAAGGCACTGTAATTGCATTTCCATGTTCTGTGTACTGTGGAAGACCTGATATAATGAATGCAAGGTCATGGGTTTAGTAACTTTAACCATCAAATGAAATCAGGGGTACCTTGGATACAGCATCTGTGTCCCAGCATTCTAACTAGAGTGGTCTGCACGTTTGTAAGGACATTGGACCCATGCAGTACACAAATTTAGGCACTTCTAACAAACCATCACAACTGAATCATAATGCTCAAAACATTTACTCCATGTACTTTAGAAGTAGCAGAGAAATCATTTTTGAGGGATTTAATCCATTCTGTCCCAATTTGACAGATTAGGGTCACAGCCAAAACAGAGTGGAGGGCAGAACCTGACAGAGAACAGGGATTTGAGGAGGAATTCCAACTGTTGGTCACACTATACTATAAGAGATTGTGTCTCACCCAACGGAGTTAAACTCTGATGATAGGGGCCTTATAATCATTAGGTCAATGTGCTGCAAACTCTTGGTTGTCATGCAGCTAAACAAGGCATGAGGCAAGGTCTCTGGTACTCACAAACCCAGGCAGCTGGTCACCTTTGAGGGATGGTTGGCCAGAAGTGACTAGAGTCTCTGTAGGCAGGCAGTGGGAGTAGGCCAGAGACTGGAGTCCAACATGACTGTTTAGCAAAGCAGAAGCGGCAAGCAGGACAATACTTCCTATATGCTGAAGGAAGAAGAAAATAGTGCACATGGACACATGGAGCATTCTGACACTCAAAGTCTCTAAACTACAGGACATGGCTACTTGTACCCAAAAAGCAGCCACTTCTGCTAAATGCCCCTTTATGAGCAAAAGATTTAAGCATTGCAAAACTATAACTAGGGGTCTACTTATAGAGGCAATGTTGATCCTTTGATTCATTTCTCCACTTTCAGCCACTTATTTACAATTATATCTATTTAGAAAGTTCCACTGCTGCTCACAGGCTATGCCGATTTGCAACTACTGCTAGACCCTAGTCTAGGGCAACCTTTTTTTTCCCAGCAGATATATGCCCTGGTTCAACACTAGAAAAGACTGCATACAGCCAAGTCAAGATATGCCTACCCAGAGTATTCTTCTTATCATGACATTTTTCCTTGAACTCCAATATAATCTTCTTCATCAGATCATCCAGGGCAGCATTGGAAGGAGCACACACAAGTACTCGGTTTCTCTTGTTCTTGGCATTGAAGTTCTGATCAGGAATATTTCTCTGCTTCTGTAGATATGAGACAAGATCACTGTTACTGTAGTTTAAGTTGACATACCAGGTCTATAATTTAAGAAGAAAAACCATAAATTAGATTAAATCTATATGACCTTCTGTGTAGCTCTACCTTACAAGTCAATGATTTTCCAGCAAGTCAAAAATCCGGTATTCTTAAATCAAACATTAAGGGATACAGGTGAAGCAATTCTGGTACAAACAGAAAACCATCCAGGAGCAGTCAATCTAAAAAGGTAGGCAACACCATAAACAAAACTCTAACAGGCCCACAAAAACACAACAGGTTAATAGACAAGGCTAAAATCTTGCCTACAGAGCAGTTTGAAGAACCATACATATGAAGCTGGAAACAAATGAGGCCTGAACATCCACCTGCTAAAACAGAATGAATGTGTGACCAGAAGACCAGGTGGCAGCCTAGCAAATAAGAGAAAAGATGCCCGATGCTAAAAATCCCATGAAGCACTAAGATCTATGTAGTTGAGTGCGCTTGACCGGGAAAGGTTTGAATGGTAGGTCTAAAGGAATCTGTAGTTGAGAGACAGACTTGAACAGCACGTATTACATCCAGACAGTGGACAGAAATCTCCTTGTAATGCCATGGAGATGGAAATAGAGATGGGAGAACAATATTCTGGTTAAAGAAAAAGGAAGAAACCACCTAGGGAAGAAGAGAGGCCTCAGGCCCCAAGACAACCTTGTCTCAGCGTGGCACAAGATAGGGATCTTAATGTCCTCAACTCAAGAACTTGCCTTGCAGAGGTGATGGCAATCAGGAAGGCAGCCTTGTGAGTGAATAGGCCAATAAAATCCCTAAGTGGTTCAAATGGTGGTTTCTGAAGAACTGAAAGAACCAGGTTGCTATCCCACAGTGTCACTGAGGAACATATAGGGGTAATAATATGAGAGACACCCTGTAAAAAAACTTCACTAAGGAGTGAAAGGCAAGCAGTCTTTGAAAAAATTAAATTGCTAGGGTGGAGATATGGCTTTTCATGGAACTCAAGGACAAATGTTGATCCAGACCAGACTGCAAAAGACAAGATTCGTCTCACTGAGAACTTTCTGGTATAGAATATCCTTGTTAAGCACGAAGAGAAAATCTAATACATTATGGAATGGAAATTCCTTGCCTTGCACCATAAGAAACTGATCGCACCAAGTCACCAAAGCATCCACTACGAAGAGGATCTCTAGACTAAAAAAAAAAAAAAAAAAAAAAAAAAAAAAACTTCTTCAGCTTGTTGCTGAACCTGCAAGCCAGGAGGTCCACCTCCAGCATCCACCATCTGTGAAGAGGGTCTTGAAATACCTCAGGGTGAAGGGACCATTTTTCTGAGATCGGTTGTTGACAACTGAGAAAGCTTGCTTGACAATTTTCCATGACTGAAGTACACAGCAGACAGTGCTGGAACATGAAGTTCAACCCTAGCCAGAATCTGATCAGTGTCTCTGAACAGAAAGACATCTGGTTCCTCCAATGGGTGACAAAGCACTGCCATGGCATTGTCCAACTGAATCCTGGTCAGATTCTTGCAGTTGAGTTATCATTGAAGGGATAACCAGGCAAGCCCAGTTTTAGGGGGTAAGGTGCAAGTGATGGTCAAGAAACTGAGCCTTCTGGTCTCACGCAGCCAAAATTTGACATGCAATAGTCTGCTATGAAAATGGTCATATAACTGCTTAGAAAGAAGCCAATATTAAGCTCAGAACCCTCATGAAAAAAAAAAAGGGTTGGCTGGCTCCTGGACTGTAGCATTCAGACATGGGAGCAGAGAGTTTGGAGCTCTTACCAACTTCTGGAGGTTTAGGATCTACCTGAACCTCTGCAGAGCAAGAACAATTTTAATGGCTAACAGTCTGTGCCCTCAGTAGGTTGCCCAGGTATCCCACTATAGGAATGCTTCAACAGTGTAGTAGAAAAAAGCAGGGGAGCTTGCACCTGCTTCAAAGTAAAAGGGCAATGTTAGGGTAACATTGAGTGCCCAATGCAAAATGCAGGAATCGATGTGAAGGAAAAATGATGACATGCAAGCAGGTATTCTTGATGTCTAGCAAGGCAAGAAATTCTTCTGAAACATGACTATGATCGCTTTACACAGCAGCTGCACCAGAGCAGGGTGGAAGTCAACTAACCTTTGTGGACGTATGTGCAGGTTATACCAAATGAAGGAAAGTAGGGGCATCACCTCATAGTGAGGAGGAATGGTTTATGGGTTTGGAAGATTTGAACTTAGCAGAACTGAATTACAGACTTTCCTCTGGAGGCCTGGGGCAAACAAAAAGGACATCAGGGATACCTGGTACTACTGAAGAACTAGCATGTTCATGGGGAAACTGAGAAAAAGCCCAGTCTGGAACTGCAGCTGAAACGAAGTCTGAAGCAGAGGGTCAGACTGAGGGAAGGTTAGGCAGTGGACTTAGCTGGTCTGACTTTTAGCCTTGTAAGCAGTCAAAGAAAGGCTATGTGGTCCTAGGAGTACCTGCCATAGAAGTGGACAAATGAGCAGGGTGAGACTCACAACAACCTCTCCTTGAATCTCCTGCAGTTAAGCAGGTGTATGCTCTAGTATGCTTGTATCAGGTTATATGGAGGTACACTGGTATCAAGGGTAGATCTAAAGAGACAACATCCCTGAAAGGCCAGACGAGTCAGATGGTCTTTAGAAAGGTCATCGGCATCCCCACACCTTAACCAGGGTATTCTGAGTATCTGCATGACCAACAGTAGTTTAGAAGCTTGTAGCAAGCCATTACAGGTGAAGCACAAGGCTCCAAATATCTCTTCCACCTGTTCAATTAAAGAGGGGTCAACCTCAGTGGTGGAGAGGTCCCTTTTGAGGGATTACTACTGCTGTTAATTAGAGTCCTTAGGATGAGCATGCCCTGTACCTGTCAAGTGGCTTTCAAGTTAGGGCAATCAGATGACAGATGTACAGTGGTATTTTGATAGAGTATACTTCTTGCAAGTATGTGCGGCATCAATGTGGGGTCAAATTTTCACCCTCATTAACGAACCTATATATGGGGACATGGGAAGAGAAGTTTACCTTTGCTGAGCATAATATTTTCCAGTGTTACATCCTATGGTATAGGTGCTACACAGATGATCTGCTGTTGATTTGGTGAGGATCCAAGACCCAAGAGCCATCTCCAAATGTGTTGATACAGTAATACATCGGTTTACAAAACGCCTTTTTAAACGTAATTTTTGGTTTACAAACGAAAAGCCATTGAAAATAATGGCTCTGTTACCAAAATTTTTTTCCAAATTTGTTTTGCAATATGAAGTGTATGTTGGTGCCGATTTTTAAATGCAATTGTAGGCTTTATTGTTTTCTTCACTATTCAGAATTAGCTGTCACTTTCCCCGGAGTTAACAGAAACTCTGTTTCTTTTAAGAAACTTAAAGGAAACATTGTTTCTCTTAACTTGGGGAAATAAACCAAAAGAAAATTCTCTCTCTTTTAGCTGGGGGGAAGTGACAGCTGAATTTCTAAGCTATAGTGAAGAAAAAAAAAAAAAAAAAAAAGCGGTAATTACATTTAAAAACCGGCACCATAATAAATAAAAAAAATGGCGTGGGGTCCCCCCTCCCATCCTTACCAAGCACTTCAGGTCTGGTATGGATTTTGAGGGGAACTCCCATACCAAAATGTAAAAAAAAAAAAAAAAAAATGGCGTGGTGGTCTTCCAGATTCCGATAGGCTCCCTGCCTGCAGACCCCCACAACCACCGGCCAGGGTTGTGGGGAAGAGGCCCTTGTCCCCATCAACATGGGGACAAGGTGCTTTGGGGGGGGGGAGAGCCCTCCTGCCCTAAAGCAGCCCCCCATGTTGAGGTCATGTCGCTTGGTATGGTTCAGTGGTTCATCCCCCCTCCTTTCTGACCTGCCGGGCTGCATGCTCAGATTAGGGTCAGGTATGGATTTTGGGGGGAATCCCACACCATTTTCTTTTTTTTTTTTTTTTTTTATCTTGGCATGGGAATTCCCCTCAAAATCCATACCAGACCCGAAGGGCTTGGTATGGATGGGAGGGGGGACCCCATGCTGGTTTTTAAATAATTTTTTTTTTAATTGCCAGCAATTCTTTTACATTCAGCTGTCAGTGGGGAACACAGTTTTCACTACTAAAATACAGCATGACTTGTGGTATTGCTTGTGGTATTGTAATACTCGTGGTATTTTAGTAGCGTTTACTTTTTTCTGACCTCCGGAACGGATTAATTGGTTTTCAATGCATTCCTATGGGAAACGACGTTTCGGTTTACAAATTTTTCGCTTTACGAAAAGTCCTGCAGAACGAATTAAACTCGAAAACCGAGGTATTGCTGTATATTGAATTGCAATGATCTTAATTTGCAGTTCACTTTGGAATGTAATAGGGAGAAAATACACTCTTTGGATGTCACACTGGAAGGGGACAGTGTTATAGGTAATGTGAAACTTCCACAAGGTATGTTCTGGTAACTCCACTCTGTTGCCGAGCAGCTGCCACCCTTTCCATACACTGAAGGGGAATTCCTAAGAGTGAGACGCAACTGCTCAAGTGAGCAAACATTTGCAGAAGACAGTGAAGTCATTACAAGGTGGTTAAGAGAACAGGTACAGTATATCTGGAGTCCCTATTCTTTATGGGATACCGGTTAGCATCCAAAAGCACCTGGCATTTGCTGTTAAATGAAACAACTGAGATCTACGATGATAAAAGAAAGAAATATAGGAGGTGTGGTTTGGCCATGGAGGTGTGAGCACGCTTCTGTGAGAGCTCTGCAAGGTTCGGGCCCTGGGACAGCTAGTCTCACCAGTCAAGTGTAGTCTATGCCGGGTGATTGGAGGAAATTGCAAGCCATAGGGGATCCTCGAACCACGGAGATAACCGACTACTTCAGTGATGGCGAACCTTTTAAAGACAGAGTGCCCAAACTGCAACCCAAAACCCAAGCCAACACTGCAATTAAACCTGAATACTGAGGTTTTAGTTTAGAAA